TCAAAATCATCACAATTAAAAGAACCAAAGACTTAAACTACTTCAGTCTGTGTGCATTGAATTTATTTAATACACGAGTTTCACAATTTGAGTTGAATTACTGAAATAAATGAACTTTTCCACGACATTCTAATTTATTGAGATGCACCTGTATATTTTTGTATCGGGCAGCTAATACTTCCTCCACCATTTAAGCCGTGGTAACTTCAAGGTCCTGGCGCTTTAAGTGTTGTTTTGTTTTATTTCCCTGTCACACAGGTTTAGGTCATTTGTTTTTAAGACATGCTGCATGGAGATGCAGTATGACTAAGAAGAGTAACTGGCTGCGTTCTCCAAGTGCACCCTTATTTAAAAAGAAGAGTTGTTAGACTTGATGAATGGTTGCCCTCTCCTCAGCTCTGTTGCTGCCACAGCCGTCTTTATTTGGTCACTCCGCAGAAGAGCATCAGCCTCCATAATGAGATGTTATGCTTGCCGGAGGAACCAGGCTTCTATTCATCAACCTTCCTTCGTGCTGCTACACACCGGTCGGGTCCACATGAATATTAATTCTAGTTCAGTGTGAGCCCCATCAAATACTTTAATTTCATTCAAGCAGTGTACATAAATCATTATCTGCAGACTCCATAATAGCTTTCGTGGTACCTACATTGATATGGAAGTTGATAGCGTGGCATAAATCAAGCTACCCGTTAACGGACAACCTGAACTCCCTTTCCTACTTTTGTGGCATTTTTCAAAGTAAATGTGCTATTTATTAGTACAGATCTTCTTCGGTTAAGGCCGAAATGTTAAAATGTATATCATGTTAAGTGTCTTAAGAGATGAGAGGTTAAGATGTAATATAAAACACTGCTGGGGAAGTAGAGCTCCTGAATACTCCGGTATTTTGTTTTTCTAGCTGAGCTCATTAAATTTAAAGAACCTTTAATTTTATTGATAAACCATTGGGATTCTGATACGCACGCCCATGTCTCTTTTTCTCTTATTTTCCAGTGCCCACAGCATAAAGCTGTTTTTATTTCCTTTTTTTTTTTTTTTTTGATGTATTATAGTGTAAAAACTCTTATTATATAACAAACGTGTTTTGATACAGAGGAAATCTTTTATGAGGACCATTTGTTTTTTCCTTTGTGAGAATGATGCTCTTTGCACCTTTACAAATGTTATTTCACCCCCTGCTGGTTGACATTGGTATGTTAGTGTATGTATGTAAGTGATCCATATTATGATACTTAAATTGATTTGACATTGTCATTTGCTAGTGACTTACAAGTATGCGTTCTAACAGTTGAGTGGTAGAACATTTACAACAAACATTTGAGACTTGACACTTGAACCTTGCCAAGGTAATACTCCTCCCAAAACTTCTTGTTCCAAATCTGTATGTTGTTATTTTTTCCTTTACATATTTTTTTTCCAGTGAACATGGACTGTCAAAAAGCACTATAAAAGCACCAAAAATGATTCTGTGACCCAATCCGCTATATCCCAAGTCTCTTGAAGCCAAATTCTATATTCTGAGTTATGAATAGACCCAAAGGTAATGCTTTTAACTGATAACCTTCATCTGCAGATTTCTACTCAAACATTGCACATTTCGTGCAGGTCATGGCGTTTAGTTCTGAGACTAGTTCTAAGATTATTAGTCCATCAGGATTTTTGCAGTCAGAAAAAAAGTGCAAAAATGGTACCTTCAGAGCTACAGCAGCTTGTAACTGGGCCAGTACCCTTAAAGGTTCAACTTTGTACCTCATCTTCCTCCAAAAGTTGCATATTAGTACCTTAGAGTAGTAATACTGCATGTTCCCTTAAGGTGCTTCCATGAACCTTTGAGGGGTTAATAAGGTACAAAAATGTCTCTTTGAGGGTAGTGCACCACTGAGAAGCTATTGATGCCTTAAAAGTAACATTTTTGACTTTTTTTCTGGTCTGAATGTTTTGGAATATTGTGCGTGAGATGTATAGACCACATTTAGGGTTTATTTGCACTGCTTTTGTGCTTTTTGAAGCTGAACCAATCTATACCGTCATTGTATAGAAAAATAGATGTATGAGAAGATTCATCAAGTCCACTTTGAGTCCTTTTGTGTTTCTGAAAACCATGGCACAGCTAATACTGCTTGTATTTCTTCTTCTTTCTCCAGGTTCAGTAAGATCCAGAACACCAAGAACACCATGAGGAAGGATGGGATCAGCTCGCTGATGTACAGAGTGGTGTCTGTGAAGAAATATCCGCTCTACACTAACATTTCCGTAGAGATCGGCAAGCCTCCACCCAGACCCCTCAAAGGATAGAGAGCTTCCGGTTCTGGACCGAGGATACCATGACCTTCTTAAAGTTCAGCACACAAACACACACACACACACAAACTCTGCCCAGGGTCACCTTCCTATGATACAGCAGTGATATGCTGAACAGGTTAGTTCTCAGGAATACATGGAAGCGTGATGTGGATCCAACGATGTACTGTAGATTCATATCCTGATCCAGATCGAGATGTGCACAGTGTCTGGATGAACGGAAATATCATACTCCAATGGCTGTTTGGTTCAGACCTTGAGGATCAATTCAAGTTTTTAGGCTCTTAACGGGAGGATTGTTCCGTTCTGGTTTTGGTAAGTGACACTGATCTGCGAAGAACAGCCTGGTCACTTGATGTAAATCAGTCAGAACATACTGTACATTTCAAAAGCGAATGTGTCTTTGTTCCTGCGATGCTTGCAGTGTTCAAATCTCTTCTTTCGTATCTCGGATGTTGGTTGATCATGTGAGGTTGATTGATTGGTGCTTGAAGTTGGCTCCTTTGGATTGTGTCTCTATCTTGCGCTCTCTTTTATTTTGTATGGTCTCTTGGGACTAAGATGAATTTTGTCAACCGTGAAAACACTTCTCAGCATTTCTGGGGATGAAACCCTTGTTGGGATGTCTTCATGGGAACTTGGAGGACAACTATGTGATGTGATTAGACTGGATCTGGACTAGTCCTACAAGCACATGACTGTCAGTCAATATGGTACAAATGGATTGCTGTGTAGATGCCTGGAGAAACGGCAAGAACTTTTGCTGAGAGATAGAGGAGCTTCTGTAGAAGTTACTGATGATCAAACCTCTGTATCTATCACCACCTGCTCAAAACTGACTGTGCTACGAGCCACTCTTTCTTTGTTTACTTTCATTTGCCTCAAAGATTCATATTTAGATCTGTCATATGTCAAGGCTTTTTTAAAAACGTGAAGGATGAAGTTGGCGGTGGGTGCTTTGATGCCCATGTCATTCAGTTTTAGAGTCTCGCGCCTCTTTTGATGATCATCTTTGGAGGTGTTATTTAAATGATTCTCTGATATGTCCAATATCAAAAATATTCACCCAGGGTCCAAACTCAATGTTTTGCCACAACTTCCAATTCGAGATATTTGAGGAAATTTACAGACCGTATTGTAATTATTTGTTACAGGCCAATAATCAATATTGGCATTTTTTTTTTTTTATAAGAACATATTTTTGTTTATTATTAGCTGCCGTTTTTAGCATATTTGTAGGAGCACAGTTCACTAAGAAGCTAGTTCAGCCTTAACTGTGCAATAAAACTGTCAAAAACATGAAGACCTATAATTCTGTTCCTTCATGTTTTTGTTTTGATAGCTTAATGTGAATAATATTCATACGCTACCCTTTAAAAGTATGGGGTCAGTAAGATATATTTTTAAAGAAATTAATACTTTTGGTCAATTAATACTTACAGTAAAGACTTTTACATTGTTATAGTTTAAATTTCAAATAAATGCTCTTTGAATATCTGTTCATCAAAGATGAATCAAATGTTTGACAGTTTCTGCAAAAATATAAACCGTTTTCAACATTGGTACCAATGAGAAATGTTTCTTGAGTGCCAGATCAGCATATTAGAATGATTTCTGAAGCATCATATATGACACTAAAGCGTAATGGCTACTGAAAATCTTATTACAGGAATAAATTACAAACAAATTAAAATAGAAAACAGTTATTTTAAATGGTAATATTTCACGATATTACAGTTTTTACTGTATTTTCGATCAAATAAATGCAGCATTAAAGACTTCTTTCAAAATTTTGAACAGAGGACAAAAAACTTAACAGATAAAAATAAATGCTCTTTGAATATCTGTTCATCAAAGATGAATCAAATGTTTGACAGTTTCTGCAAAAATATAAACCGTTTTCAACATTGGTACCAATGAGAAATGTTTCTTGAGTGCCAGATCAGCATATTAGAATGATTTCTGAAGCATCATATATGACACTAAAGCGTAATGGCTACTGAAAATCTTATTACAGGAATAAATTACAAACAAATTAAAATAGAAAACAGTTATTTTAAATGGTAATATTTCACGATATTACAGTTTTTACTGTATTTTTGATCAAATAAATGCAGCATTAAAGACTTCTTTCAAAATTTTGAACAGAGTTCAAAACAGAGGACAAAAAACTTAACAGATAAAAACAAAAACATAGATGAATATAAGATTTATCTGGTTTCCATAATTTTCATAATTCATCATAATGTTATGTTAATTTTCACTTGTATTTGGTGTTTGGCTAATGTTAATTTTGGGCCCTGTATTCACCTCTTCCAAAAAGATCTGAATAACTGTATTGAACTGCTTTTCTTTACAATACTTTGCAAGCCTCTTAAAGTTGTTTTACCATTCCTTATTCCTTCTTCACCTTTTATTTTACTACCTGAAAACACCAAGCTGATGCCTTCAGATGTATTATTAGGGGCAAATGTGAGGAGAGTTCAAGCTCTTTTTTTCTCTCTTATCGGCTTTTCTGCGCCGTGTGCAGATGCTTCTTTTGTGCTATCAACGATTCTTTCAGCCCAGCACAGAGGAAGTCATTAATGAGAGTCCAGCCACTCTCCGTCCTTTTTAAAATACACATTTCCTCGTCTTTCTCCTCATGCCTTTCATTTTAGCCTCACCAACCCATTTCATTTCTGTGTGTGCATTTATGTTGTCTTAACTGCTTACCCAAGCAGTCACTGTGCCACTAACATTGTTTCCTTCTTAAGTATTTCATCATCTCTGTCTCATGGGTACCACTACCTGTCAGTTATAAGTGCATCACTTCTGCCACGTGGTGTTTGTACACTGGCCGTCAAGCGAAGTAACTGTTAATACTTACCTGACACAATTTTTGCCTCAAGCCCTTTGATTTTTCATGGATTAATAGCCTTAAAAGTTGACATCCATCTGTGCACACTATTCAGAACTAATCATTGATCATATTGAATCATATTTACTCTAGCTGTGACCTGCATTTCAAATGCTGAGAAACAGTGTTGTAGAATGCAGTGAATCCTAAACCTTCAACACAAATGAGATTTCAAGCCAGTATCCTTATTAAAAAGACATTATGCTCGTCCTGAAATGTCTTGGCGAATGAAATCGAAATCTGTTTCTGTTGGAGTAAATGAGATTACTTCCTTTTCCAGTTCATGTATCAAAGTGTGTTTTAAACTGAAGAAGAAACAATGTTGCAGAGCGCATTTACATTATCTTAATTTTTTTCTAAATGAAAAATGCAGTCCATATGGTGTATACGGAGTGAGCAGAACTAAGTCCAACATATTGAAGGCCTCACGCACATTGTTGCATGTAATCTGTCAGGCTTGATACAGCATGATAGTGTATAATGTGTAGCCATTCTTCTGAAAAATATTTGTTTTATATTGATTTAAAGGTGTACTCAGTCATTTTTGTTGGTTGCACTAATATGGCAGATTTATACTGCCAAGACTAATTTTTTCACAAAATTACTTAAATTATTCAGTATCTATATAACATTCAAAGGTTTTTGTTTTTTAAGGAAATTATACTTTTATTTAGCAAGGATGCATTTAAGTGATCAAAAGTGACAGTAAATAGATTTATTTAACTTTCAAATAAACACTGAACTTTTGAACTTTCTGTCTATCAATGAATCCTGTGTCAGTGTTTCCTCAAAAATATCCAGCGTATTAGAATGATTTCTGAAGGATCACGTGACTCTGAAGATTGGAGTAATGACTGCTAAAAATGTAGCTTTGCCATCACAGAAATACATTCGATTTTAACAGTTAACACTGTTAAAAATAGAAAACCGTTATTTTAAATTGTAATAACATTTCACAATAATACTGTTTTTACAGTAATTTGGATCAAATAAATGCAGTCTTTGTGAGCAAAAATGTTTGAAATATTACATATTTACATATATATAATTACGTATGAAATTACTGAGTACACCTTTAAGGGCTTCTAGTAAGGCCATGTATTTGGATGGTGTGAAATCTGTAGATATGGTTCTTATTAGTGAGGAAAATGATGAAATTTAAAAAAAAATTTAAGTTAGTCTGGTGATACAATCAATTATTTGATCTTAATTTTGCCCCGATGGCAAAAAAGTTGCTTATATTCTACAGTGTAGATACAGAATTGCATTATTCTTTAGTGTTTCGAATGGAATTTGATAATATTATAAAAGTGTATACATTTAGATCAGCTGATTTTTCCATTCCAAAGTTACTCATATTTCTTGTGCTAACAATGCAATCAAGTAAAGCTCGCACAGCTCTCATTACCAACCTTGCAAAGCACAAATGCAATCCTTGAGGTCAGGATGCTATTCTTCAGCAACTCTCGCTTTATAGTTTGCAAAATCACACCGGTGCCACAAATGAATATGCTTTTTATTTTGATGCCGTTCTTTTATATCACTCTTGGGTCAGCAAGCCCTCCCATCCTGAAAGCTTGCACACACAGACTTGTGTACGTAAAGCTCACCCTCTCTCCTCCATCACCCTTTTTGCCCTCAGTCGTTCTCTGGAAAGAACTCCATCTGCGCTCGATGCTTATTAATGTGAGAGAGGGACAAAAGTGGGCAAGTATTCCACACCTACACAATGACTTGCTTAAGAAACTACTGACGGCCTCAGGTCTTCATGCCTGGGGTGCATTTTTAAAGACTTACTGTGTCTATCAAGGTTTTTTGTACATTGAATGTCAAAATACTATATCTTATATAGAATGCATTATGTCATATCAAACATACTTTTTGTATACAATCAATAAATCTGATGCTACAAGAATCTGATGATGGGTTACTCTTTAAATGCCGAGTTTCTTCGTTGGAACGAATGTAGAATGCCATATTATAATGTTGTTGTTGTGTGTATGGAATATGGAATCTATAAGAAGTCATTTATGAGGCAAAACGGATCAGAACAAAGTAATAAATCTCATATTTACACCTGATTATTTCAACACCCACCTTACCAGCACCCGTCCAAATCAGTGCTCAGGGACATGGCAGTTTATTGGAAAGGGAGCATCGTATCTCTAAACTGTCAGCCTTGTGCAGGAAACTCAATAATCTGCCTCTCAAAAAGTTATTTTTTATGTGACAGATGTTGCAATAAACTAGTAGAAATAACAACAAACATCCTCTAACTTCATATATGGGATAATAAGACAAGACACTTGTAGATCACTTGTGGTTTAATTATATTTGTGTACATTCTGTCAGTGCTGCAAATACAGTCCTCGGAAAAAAAAAGTAATATTACCACAGCTTTTAAAATGAGGTGTCAGAACAGAAATCAAGCAAAAATTAGCCTGCTTTATTTATACATGATTCATTTATGATATGTTTGTTTGCATTTCGTGCTACATTAGCTGTTTCCATGCCTGCATGGCAGTAATGTAAGTCTTGCATTCTCAGTACTTTGGTTTTCAGGCTTTTGAAGCAGAAAATAATGTGTAAAAACACCAATAAAAAATGTAGTTTCGCGGATGATCATTGCATTTGCCGGTGCAAGTGTGCACTACACAGTACCCAATGTACTGTAGATGTTAATATGCTCGCATGTCCAAAAAGGTGTCTCAGTACTAAGCTCTATTGTCTGTTTTATTAGGGAATATCCCTTAGTAAGTCATTGTACTTTAACAAATGGATGTTAAATTGTTAGTTAACATAAGAAGAAGAATAATAGAATTTTTTAATCATATAAAGCTTGTAGCCTAAATAGCCTCCACACTTTCTTCTGCAAGTGTGGTTTAAATATCTGCCGAGATTTGTCATCCATTGTATAAACAAGGATGAAAGATGACCCTGTTTTTTATCTCTTTTCTCAGTTTAGCCCCTTGTCTGGCTGGCAGTTGTGCACATGGGAACACGTTGCCAAGCGGTTGCCTTCCCAGTAACTTGCATCCTGACCGTCATGACATCGACATTTGGTACAGGAGTCGACCCACGCTGGCTCACCTCCAGGGATCACTTGGGTCCTAGAGGCATTCACGTAACAGTTGGGCCCTGGAGCCACAAAGAGAGAGATGATTAATGAGGCCCATTGTCTGTAGTTAAAGGTGAACTGTGACATTTTTTCAAAGTTAAAATATGTTTTGCTGTCCCATCCTAATAAACAGAGACAGTTATATGTAAGCAATACACAGGTTGTAAACACAGTGCCACTATTAAAGGTGGAAATCTTGTCATCATTTAATCACCCTCATGTCGTTCCAAACCCGTGTTTCTTTCTTCGTTACATAAGTTTCTTTCTTATGTTGAACACCAAAGAAGATATTTTGAAGAATTTTGAAACACCAAACAGTTGTTAGTCCCCACTGACTTAGGAAAAGAAATAGTATGGAAATCAATTTCCATCAATTACCAGCATTCTTCAAAATATCTTAGTTTATGTTTAACATAAGAAAGAAACTTATACAGGTTTGGAATGACATGAGGGTGAGTAAATGATGACAAAATTATAATTTTTGGGTGAACTATTCCTTTAAAGGAGTCATATGATGCCCAAGTTGATATGATTCTTTAGGGTCTTAATGAAAAGTCTGTAACATAGTTTGGTTAAAATTTCTCAATGGTAGTGTAAAAACACCTTTTTTTACCCTGTCAAAAACAGCTCTTTTCAGATCAAGCCGTTTTTGTAGCATTTCCCTTTAAATGTTAATGAGCTCTGCTGACCCCGCCCCTCGCTTCCCAGCTGCTCTCAGAGAGACTGTTTACTTTATGTTCATCGTGAAACTTGCTAATTAGCACATTATTAGGAAAGGCGATTTGCAAAGATTCATTACAAAACATTATACTCACTTCTTCTGTAGATGAGGCTGGATCATGAATGATTCACGCGAACATAGACGCATTTAGGCAGATCAGGGGAGCATTCACTTCAGAAACAATCGAAATCCACTGCAAGTTCAGCGGCTCAGATGTCAGGAGTAAATGACGACTGCTATGTTCATTATTACATCCAACAACAGAACACCTCAATCGCTTGTTAGGAGTCATTCTTGTCTACATCTGCTCCGGCGGTGAAACAATGGTGGACTGATGACAGCTCACTCAGGGCGGGTCTAAGGTAAGACACCAGTCCAGTCTGTGCTGAAACGCTACTGTCAATCAAACTATCATGGGAGGGGTCTGTCTGTGTGAAGTCACACAGACAGGCATCTGAGATCGGCTCGATCTGAGAAAGGGGAAAACATTTAACAAGATTAAAAAAAAAAACACTGGGTGGATTTTTATCATTATAGGGTGGTTGTGTACACACACTGCCAACA